TTTTTTTTTTTTTTTTTTCTTTAGCATGAATGAATAGTCCGCAGTTGTTTTTTTTTTCTTTTTCGGAAAACAAAAAATTTTAAATGTTTGCGTGAGCTTTACAAGAGGTACTGAATCTACTCTGCTTATGAAACAAAACACTGCTACATGCATGCAGTACACTCCGTTTTTTTTTTTTCATATCCGAAACATGGAATGCTACACTTTCGAATGTGGATTTCGCGAACTGCTGGTCCGGGAAATTTTATCGTGAAGTATTTTCCACTTACGGAATTATTAATCTGGGGACCCTCTGAGGATGTGTCCGGATATGCCGCTCTTTTGTTATTGTTTCTAAGGCTTTTTTTGTAGGCCTATTTTTGTCGAGTGAATTCTTTTTCAAAATGAGGCATGCGCCCGAAACACATGTAAATAAGGCCGATTTGATTCCTGGACCGGGGGAAGATTCTGAAATATTAAATTGACGCTGCAAAAAATGGATAAATTTGTCCGCGTTTTCCGCTTCCATAATTTACAGGTTGACTTTTTCGACGGTGATATTCAAGCTTTGAAAAAACAATCAATTGTAAAGAGAGTATCTTTGCAGAGGAATAGCTCAGACAAAATAAGTTCATTGCGTTCAGAACTTCAGAAGGATCTTCATTTTCACGCTCGAAATTCAATTTAAGGAAAAAGGTTTTACAGTGGATCGAATTGCCATATAAAGAATTCACATTTATTTCAAGCATGTTTCATCTAGAAGTGTTTGCGAGTGTCGCGTAGTTTTTCAAAAATTCCAGTTCATCGGTTTTTGAAGGAGCGAAAAGAGTATTTATGCAATAGATTTCAAGAAATCAAGTCCGCGACATTTAATTTTTCTCAACAAACCTATGTCGGACCATGATTCAATTTAGCTTTTTTTGTTAAGTCCATTTAAAAGTGCTTTGGAAAATATATAGAGTGCAGCATTTTCTAATAAAATGACCAAAATGAATGGAGTAGAAATATTTCATTCCTTTGTGATGAAAAATAGTCGAACCCTCTCTCGTTGCGGGCCTGTATTTTTGCCATTTGCGTTGTTTTTCAGTTCGGTCCATCAGCATAAACTTTTCTATGATTGTACGAGACGTAGAAAATATTGAATTGTAACCATTTATTTGCCTACTCTTGTCACCACTTGGCCAATGGTACTCAACAAAGGCGGCTTACTTGAAAAAAAAAGCGTTCTCACGATTGTCTCTCCTCGTTTGAAAGCTTTACAAGAAGAAGAAGAAACATGATCTAACCTCATCAGATTAGGTTACCCGGTCCGAAGAGAAAAAAAAACCAAGTTTTTGGTTCCAAGTCATGTTTTTCTCCTCACATCGCAAATCTTTCATACGATGAAAGATTAAATGCACAAAAAAATGAGTCTTTCATTTCGGACTCTTGCGTGTGAAATGTAAAACCGTCCCTTCGGATTCGAGAATAGCGTGTTAATCTAAGCTTGTAAAACTTACTCACTGAAGCATGTTGCCCCGTATATGTGTGGAAGGCTTAAACTTGTTAAAAGAGGAATACTGTGTACTGCAGAGCTTGGGGATAATCATGTATGAAGGATTGGTGGGTTTCGGATGGCAATTTCAGACGCGGAGTAACGAATCGGCGCCAATTCGTTCCGCGTCTGAAGCAGATTATGTTCCACTGTCATATTTGTCTCTCGTGGTGACTGACGGTGTAGGAGTTTTTGGGAGTGTTCGGGTCTCTCTCGAAAGAAAAAATATCGGGAGTAGAAAAGCACGCAGTAAGAAAGTCTCGCGTAACAAAATCGTTTCTCGAACGTGTCAGAAAAAAAAAAGGTGGGTAAATTGCCTGGGGCAAAATTCAGTAATCATTAGTGATGCGAAGCGGTAATTTTGTGACAAACTTTTTTTGTTTAAAATGATTTATAGTTATGCCATTTTAACTTGGCGTTTATGCATCTTCGGACACAGTTGTTTTCTGTGTATGTAGTTCATGTCATTCCCGTGGGTTATTAATTTGAAAGCTTTTCTTCTGAAACCTCACCATAGATGATCATCTCATGGTGGCTTATTTTATTGTGATTTTCGGAAGTGTTTTGGTAGTCGGTGTTCGAGTGGGTGGTAATTCACGTCTAAATTTTTTTCAAGAGGATGAATACTCCCTTTGCTTGAGTCTCCAATTAATTGTTTCAAATTGTATTCTTCTCAATGACAAAAATTTTCTTTTACGTCATCGAGCGGTTGCCGAATGCTTTCCTATGACACCTTCTCGGATGAGTGAAGCTGAAATTGATCATTGAGTTTAGGAGTTAAATTGATACTGTATATCGCCAAGAATATGAATTTCACGTATTCTTCCGTATTCTCAAATTCCTCGACAACTCAATAGTCATCGTTCAAGTATCTACAGTAGTTCGGATTTTTTAAATCTACTGAACTTTATCCGAGAACTCCCTTACTTTCCTTTCAAATTATCCGGTGTGAACTTTTTTTTTTATGGGAAGAAAAGGAAAATCAGATTTCAATTGCTACGTCATTGTGCCGCTGCTGACGTTATCCTCTCGACAAAGTCTCATAGTAAAGCTGAAACTTACCAATGAGGTCATAGAATCAAATCGACACTTCGCCGTGCTTACGAATTCATAGTTCCCTCAATACTCCGTGATCTTCGGGAACGTCGAGAGTTCAGTGACCAATGATCTGTTTTTATCAGGTGGTTTCAAGCTTTGATGTCCACTTCTAGGATTTTTCCAAAGAGGAAGACTCTGTTCCCCAAAATAAAAAATTAGGTACAGTCAAACCCTGTTGAGACGCCACCCTCGGCAGCCGCCAATTTATTTTGAAGAACAAATCTTCCCTGATGATAAAACCACTAAAAACCCCATTAAAAAGCCATCCGCCAACATTAACGGGTACTCAAATATGCTCCTGTCAGTTAATTTTGTCTTCGATACCCCGCAAACAAAATTCAAGCTTCTGTGAGAGATCTGAAACTGTAAATATGACTCACCGCGAAAAGATGACGTAATTTTCGTCTTTGGAACATTAGCTGGATATAATTAACACAGCCTGAGGTCATTTTGGTTGGTTTATGGAATGATAAAAAAGTTTCCTTTTATACCTTATGTTGGTGTTTTTTAAAGCTTTTTTTTATAAACCACCGACCACTTGTTGAGCCGCCATGAACCTCACAAACAAATGGCGGTGACTAATCGAGGCTTGACTGGTAAAAAATTACATTTCTTTTTTTTTTCTTCTGGGTAGTAAAAAAAAGTCAGATTTCAATTGCTATACGCCAGCGTGCAGCTCTTGCAAGTTCCGTTGCGTCGAGTGTGTGTCGCAGGCGTCGGTGACGGGAAGCGTTTTCGGTGTGTTCTTGTGTCGAAGCATGTCGTTCCGGTGACTGTTACGTGTGTTTATTTGCCGCGTCTCGGTTGCACGGTGAAACCGCCGATTATCGCTGGCGCATCGCCTGACGCGGTCTGTTCCAGGACGACACGTTACTCACCTACGCGACACCTTGGTCGACATTTCCGCCCCAGGCCTTCAGTTTTTTTCTTATTTTTAATTCACTTGTCCCGTGTTTGCGTGCTTCTGTAAATTGTAAACTCATGGCATTTTTCAACGCGTAATTTGTGCAGTTTCATGCTTCCCACGCGAATATGTCTCGGGTCAGCATTCCTATCGAGTTCTCGTCTTGTGCTGTTCTGATGATTCTTGTGTGAGTACCCGATTTTCAAAAGATGCATTCGTGTCTAGTGGCGTTTCAATCTGTGGTACACTTTTAATGTGGAGCGTGGATTTTTCCGTGACAAAAGGAAAAATGACGGGGGATGCCACTATTTTTCTTTTTTTATGGTGGGCTCGTATATCCACCATGATTGCCACGTTCTTGGGTAGAGTTTAAATCTGGAGAGGGATTAAGTGAATCATTCATTGAAAAAAAAGTGAAGTGTTGGAGATTAAGTGTGGAATTTTACTTGATTATTATCTTTAACTGAAGTTGAGAACCTGACTGCGAATAACGTACTGCATATGACCTCCGTTAAAATTTTGAACGGATACAATTTCCAACAAAAAAAGGTAGAAAATTCCCTTGTTGGCGGGGTTTTTTTCAAAATCTGGTGCTGTATTTCGAAAGGGAAGTTGACCTTGTGTTGGGAGAATCTAGAATAGTGTTTTGGTATCAACTTATTCGCGATCAAGTTTCGTTTTCTGCCGACTCTCGGAAATATCAGTGAGAAGACAAGAACATTCTGATTTTAATATTGTCTGCGTGTCTCAAGTGATAGCTCATGAGCTCAGATCCCTTGATTCTCTTTAGCAATGAATCAGTCACACAGCGAAATACAGGAAGCGAAACCATAATGCTGTCGAATTCTTTGACGTTTCGATTTGACATTTCTATCGCTTACCCTCGATGGATTTCGATCCCGTGGTTGTTTGAAATTTGACCTTCACCTTCATCAGTCTGGCGATGAATTTCTTTGAAGCTATTGTGGGGATCACGCTTGATGATGTAGACTCTGTGAGGAAACTTCCGTAATTCCGTGGAATTTATTGTATTGAATCGTTGGTGTTTTTCCGCTTTTTTTGCAGCAAGAGTATCGTGAATTGGAAGAGCGATTCAACAAGGCCATGATCCTGAATGCGCAGATGGATAATGAGAAATCTGGCTTGACCTACCAGGTGGAGAATCTGAAAGACATCATCGTCGAGCTTCAGGAAAGCCTTCTCAGCCTTCAAGTTAGTTGAGGAAAATTATAAATTTCCTCCTTTTCAATCAAAGAAGCATGACTGATTGTTGAAACGATTCACAGAAAGAGTACAAGATCAAGTCGCGAGATTGTGACGCCTTGCGTCGTGCTGCCGAAAGCTTAAAGGAGGACAATCGGAAATTGAAGGCGGAGATTGTTGAACGTGATAAACTGATTAATGTGAGTGATTTTTTTTTTTACTGCCTAGTCGAACTTTCAATTTGTTTTGTTCAATTATTTTTGTTAGCTTGTTTTTGGAAATCAGCGCAGGATTCTTGCATCTGAGGATTACGATTTTTTAAAATCTTTTTCCCCCTCAGCGTCGGTATTTAAAATAAAAATGTGTGGAATATTGTAAATTACATTACAGTACTGTCACTGTCAATCGGAAATTGAAGGGGGGGATTGTTGAGCGCTATATATTGATTTTTCTTTTTTTAGATTCATTTTTATTTTTTTACTGCGTAGACGAACTTGAAATTTGTCTTGTTCAATTATTGTCGTTGGTTAGCTTTAGGAGATCACCGCAGGATTCTTGCACCTGCGGATTACGAATTTTTTCGTCTTCGTTCCCTTCAGCATTTATATTCAAACGAAAAATGTATAGAATATTGTTAATTACAGTGCTTCGTATTCCTTTCTTAGATTCAGGTGAGACCAGCCTGATTTCCATGAAGCTGACGTTTGCAGTGCTGCATTGTTTGATTCTCTTGCAAAATATTCTGACGCAGTTCTATTGACTGAATGATAATGATTTGGATATTCTTTCAGGAGGTCGGTCTAGTCATGGTGTACAGCGAAGAGCTGGACGAGGAAGGAAAAGCGAAGCGAGCCTTGGTGACGCGTGAGTCAGCGCAGTTGCTGGATGAGGCCGGCGAAGGATCCCTCGGTTAATATTCCGAATTTAAACCTTTCTTTTTTATTTTTTTCTAAGTTTTTGTGCATAGCTTGACTGATTGAAATGCATTTGATAGATGTGAGAATCAAGAGATTCGCTGAAGAGAAGAACGAGCTCCAAGATACGATTCGTAGATTGAATCTTGATTTGGAGGAAGAGCGAAGCAAGAATTCGAAGTTCACCAAATTGATGGCTTCGAGTCCGACGACAAACGGACCGTCTAGCACCGATGAATGGATCGATTACCAAAGTGCGAAATTTTGAAATTTTTGAGATTATATTTCGATTTCATAGGATGTGTTCCCGTCTTTCAGAGGAAAATAATCGCCTGGTAGCTGAATATAAAGCACGTGTGCAGCGGTCAGAGCAAGAAATACTCACGCTGCAAGCGAACGTGAGTACATGCATTTATTTTTCAAGTTTTTAACGATTGCTTCTTTCTTGAAATAAATTCGGTACTTCGTCGGTTTTCTCACTGAAGATTTCTTTCGAATTTGTAGGTTTCGCGTTTGGAAAGCCAGGTGACAAGGTACAAGACGGCAGCGGAGGCCGCTGAGAAAAACGAAGAGGATTTGAAGCTCGAAAAGAGGAAGCTTCTACGTGAGGTGTGTTTTCAACTTTTGAAAATGTTCTTCTCTGCAAATGATCTTCTGTAGATAATCTTTTCTGAGTTGTATTTTAATTCGTCGTTGATGCTGGTTGGAGACATGCTTCATTTCAATTCCTTCTTCCATCCTTTTTTCATTGGCAATGTGGTGGCAGTTGAAACAAGCTCAAGACAGAGTAGATGATTTGGAAATCAACAAGAAAACGCTTGAACGACAAGTCGACAGGCTGAAGCGGAAAAAGTAAAACTTTGCTTCTGTATCATGCTTTTTCCGAGCACTGCTTGGCCTCGTCAGCACGGGATTCCTCCAATTACTTCCAGTCACGTTTTCAATAGTGTTTCGTCTCACGGATTTTCCTAGCTACAGTATTTACAGAGAAATTTTTAGAACTGAAGTGCTGTTACTGTATTCGTTCTTCTCCCCGATGTGCGTGATGCTTTTCGTTGATTGCGTTCGGTTGTAAATGGATCGGGAGGTAGTCGTTCATGTTGTTTGGTATATCTGTGGATATTTTCGTTTTAATGCTTTTACAGTTTGTTCTTCTTGGTCTAGAATAATCCGATTATTTGTTTCAACTTAATTTATCGGTTCGCAAGCACTTTGGTGTTTAGGGCGTTGGGAGAGAATTTTAACAGCCTTTTACCAGTATATTAACATTCATTTTCTTACTTTCCTAGCTCAAGTTGGGCTGACGCTCGACTAATTTTGATTTCTTGACCAAGTGATAATTTTTATCATCTTGAGGATCATGTCTCAAGGGAACTTTTTTTTAATACTTGTCATGTCTTTTACCCGTCCCATGCTGCAGTTGCTCGATCGTGGATGAACAATTTGTTGTTCATCAGTCCTTGTTTCAGGATTTTGCTTTTTTGCCTGGTGTGATAGCAAAATCTTTTGCTCGGCGACGTTATCATCGTTGAGCTTTTTGTATGACATCCTGTTGTTCTTTTGTGCAGTTGAGGGAGTCCCAAGAAAAGTTGGAGGAAGTCGAAACGAAGCGATCACATTTGGAAAAACGGCTCGAGAAAGTGAAAAATGCGAAATCGGCTCTGCTGAAAGAGATTTCCGAAAGCTAGCCGCTGGTTACGTTGAAAGAAACTGGCTTGTATGCTGTGCGACACCCGAGTTTTTCCGCTGTCGGAAGTAGGGAAAAAACGGAGACTGGACGATTTTAGAGGAAAAAATATTCTAAGGCCCCGGAGCATGTGTTAGCAGTATTTAATTTTTTTTTTAAGAAACCTGTAAGATTTGCTCATTTCTTCCGACGCCGAAAGGCTCGTCATTCCCAAGTTTCCTTCAATGAAAAAAAAAGGTTTCCTCATAATTCCTAGCTTGGGTTCCCGAATGTGTTTTTATAAGTTGTTTCTCAGCGCGATGACGAGTGTGGAAGGAGCTTCCGCTCTCTTGTGTCGAGTTTTAAAGCTGGTTGAAAGTCGAGTTCCATTTGATATTTGTAGAGGCGCGCGAATTCGTAAGTATTGTGCTGTGATACGTGCATAACTTTTTTTTTTTCGATGTCGAGCCACGGCTGGAAAAATGTTTGCCTTCGTTTTCCGCGTCGGGGATGTGATGTCTCCGGTCAGGCTTCCATCTTCAGCTGGTGTCTTTTCGAGGTGTTATCCATGATGAGCTCCTGATGCTGCGCTTGCTTCCGTGTTTTATGAGACTGGATTTTTTGTGAAAGCGATTTTTTTTGTTTTTCGTCAACCGGTGTACTGAGGGATGGATACACCACAAGATCCCGTCGCACTGCCCGCCAATTCTTCTCGAGATTCGGGTGTTGAAAGTTTTAAGGCGCAGCTCATCTGACCTTCATCCATTTTCAGTCAACCCGTTCTGTTTTAGTTTTTAATGGATTTTCGTCTTTCGCTTCGTTATCTCAAGTCGTGCTGACGGATGTTCAAGTTTCATTCCACCTGTTTCGGGAGTTGTGGGAAAAACCGTGCCAGGATGAAAATGTTTCCGATTTATTTTGGACTGCGAATTTGAATTTCGCCGAGACAATTTTAGAGGGGCAAAGTTCGACTTGAGTCGGCAATCTTCGTAGCCATCAATATCGTTAGAGCTCTCACTATTTTCGGCGTCCGAAAACGATTTTCGTTTTCGGACGAGGCGATTCTGGAAAACCGAGGCGGTTATTGGGCAGTGCGCTGGAGGATTGCTGGTCGTTCCTCATCACGAAAGATACGAAAGAGCACATTGAAATGTCCGCAAGTAGTACCATATACAGTACTTCTTTTTCGTTGGTTTCTGTTGTCGTGAGTAAGCGTGCGAAAACTGTGAGCGGAAAATGTGAACGACAAGGTAAGAGTTTCTGGCGAGAAAAAAAAAGAAGAAAGAAATGCGGCGATGACGAGACAGTGCCTCCAACTTCCGCTTGCGAATGGCAGGGAAAAAATATCTTGTGTTATTTCGTTATGATTTTAACGACCACTTCTTGTTTGGGTTGAATACAAACTCGAACTGTGCTTACGAATGGGACTCTTTTTTTGTAGCGTGTATCTTATTTTCCGTTTTTCGTATGTACGTGATGAAATTTGAATCGGCGATCATGTTTTAAACATTTTTCGTTTCATTTTTCTCTCAAACACGCATATCACAGTTCCTTCGACGGGACCTGGCCGTACCTCAGCCGGAATCTGGATTTTCGGAGGAACATAAAAAGCTCTCGCATTTTTGAGGGTTCTATCCTGACGAAGTTTTGGTCTACAGCAGTATCGTCGAAATCGACTTCGTCACGTGAATATTCTTTTTTAACATTTCCGAACAAATTTAGTTACATTGAGAGATGATAAAGAAATAAACCGCACTTCGCTGAAAATGTCTCTTGAGCCTTCGGAAATTTCGCCCTAATTTTTTTTTTCTCGTTACCGTATTTACGCGATTATGAGCTGCCCTCTTGTCCCAGAAAGTTTACTGCGACCCACTGAACTCAAAATATTTTCCAGTCCGCACCTGAACCACTTTTGAACAAAACGCTCGAAATATACAGGCTGACTATTCGTATGCATTATCCCGGAGATAATTTATCTTCTGAAAAGCAATGTATGAAAATTCTTGAAGACGAAATTTTAGCTTGGAGGATTTTCCCCTGTTTGCGTCGTATGTTTTCTTTAGAATTCATCGTTTTTCGAGCTTGTAATCACCATCTCCAGTGGCTGCCCAATTTCAGGGTGCGGACTATAATCACGTAAATACGGTGGATCGTGTTCTTCGATCAAGAAGGCGAATAATAGGTAAACGGGAACTTGACTCTGTTTTTCATGTGAGCTTTTCGGAAAATTTTGGAGGTACCGACCTAATGAAAATTTCGGCGAACATAAATAGACTCGTAACAATTATTTTCAATCTCTTCTCAGGTCTGGTTGAAGCAGATTCCCTGATGATCATCGATTCATGGGATGACTCGTGCAATCGAAATTGAATCAGAATTGCGAGTCCCCGCGTCAAATACGCTTTCGCACGACATTCAAACGGAGTTTTTTTGGCCGGCAGCTGAAAATCCTTCTGTCATGGCGCATTGTTCAACTTATTCTTCGTACCTCCTTTGCTCACCCAGTCCACATACGGCTTGAAATCATAGCCAAACAGCGCGAAGTCCGGATAGTACAACGAAAGTAGTCCTTCTAATTGACTCTCGCTCAACTCCGAGTAATATTTCCGCAACAACGTTTGCGTCTTGCCCTTGGAATTGGAGTTCCATTTCCGGACGCTGATGTTGTGCGGTACGCCGACTGTTTCCAAGATGAACATCGAATCCCGTTCCAGCGTTTCCGTTTTGGCGATCACGGTGAAATTGAGACTGCAGGGCGTGCAGAAACGGTAGTACGGGGCCCAGTGTTCGTCCAGTCGGTGTCCGCGGTGTTCCGTGGAAAGAACGTAGTCTACAAAGTCGGAGAACGTGGGGCCGTGATGCAGGGCGTAGTTGTAGCCGTGTTTGCGAGCCGCCATCATGGCGCCGATCATCTTGTAATGGCCGTTTTTGGCGCTCTCGAACTTGTCGCGGTAAGCTGAGAGCAAGCGCTCGAACGGATCTCGCACGACGATGAATGACAAGCTGTCTTGCATGGCTTCCTAAAAATTAAGTAAGCGTCAAAAAAGGGATGTAGGTGAAAGAAAATAATTACGTGACATTGCTCAATATATCACTCAACAGCTGCTATACATTTTATATGTGATTGATTTTTTTTTTTAAGAATACTGTAACGGGAAATTAAGTATTCGTTACGTCATTCGTAAGAAAATCGAACGATTTGAAGCATCGTATTTTCGCTTATATACACGTATTCATTCGAGTATCGTACCACGTGCGCTCCGAAGATTTTTAGCTAAAAATTTGAGCAGAATACTTCACCGCTTCAAAACGCGCGACTTAACTTTCAGTCACCAAAATTCCCATTTGGAAAACTTTTCCGTGTAAAAGCCTAAATTTTAGCCCACTTGAAAATTGAATTCAATGATGATTTGTGTTCAATAGAAATAACAGCATTACAGGTGGACTCTCTACGACGATCTTGTCTACAACTATTTCCTCTGTGACGGCATTTTTTTCTGTCCCCGCATATGGTCCTCTCCCCGTGTTATACGAGGGTTCTAACAAAAGTTCTCGGAGTAGCAATGAAAATGGCATACAATTGAGCTGAAAAAAATTTATTCTCTAGCCAAAACATATTCTTAGGCACATAAAAAAAATCAGCCCGGTTTGACAATTTTTTTCAAACAGCCGCCACATTGGCCGCCATTTTGGCGGCTGTGAAGGCGGCTGTTGATGAAAATGGCGGAATTGTCTTGGATGACCTGGAGGCAACCCTTAGAAAGCATGCCAAGTTGATTTCAAAAATTCTGAGGGGAAAGCTGGGCTACAACAAAAAAAGGGCGCCTCATTTTTTGTGTGGAGAGCAAAACTCTATATGGATGAATTTTGCAAAAAAATGTGAAAAATTGTCAAACCGGGCTGATTTTTTTTATGTGCCTAAGAATATGTTTTGGCTAGAGACTAAATTTTTTTCAGCTCAATTGTATGCCATTTTCATTGCTACTTCGAGAACTTTTGTTAGAACAAAAGTTTTCAAAATAGGAATTAAAATGGCGCACAATCGAGCTGGTGAAAAAACGTATTCTTTAGGGAAAACATATTCTTTGAATCAGCCCTGTTTGACAATTTTTTTGAATGTTTTTCAAAACTCTGCCAGGGTGAATTTTGCAAAACCTTCAAAAAAATTTGTCAAACAAGGCTGATTTTTTTCAATAAAAAATAAAGGCTGATGTTTTTGAATAAGTTTTTTTCATCTCGATTGTGCGCCATTTTTATTCCTATTCCGAGAACTTTTGTTAGATCCCTCGTAGGTGTTCTCTACATCGGAATTTTCTCCACGGCGATTTTTTTCTGGCCGCCCCTTGAATTTCGTTTCAGAGAGCTAAAAACCCTGTATTGTATTATTAAAATACAGTATAGAGAACTCTGAAAAAAATTTGAAACTGAGAAGAAAAGTTTCGATTTAAAAAAGTAATGTTGCTTGGAAAGTTGGCATTGTGGACGCGAATATGACATGCACCTCATTCTTTGCTCCACCTTACTGAAAAAAGTTGTTCGTGGTATACTCGAGTAAATACTTCATAGCTTAACCGTGAATAAGCCTTCAAAAGATCTTGCATTGAGGATGGTCAGTGAATCATAATGGAAACTTGTTTTTTCTTGTTTTTAGAAATGTTTTTTCTTCAGAATGCAGTTTGTAAATGTGTGTGGATTTTTTTTCGAATGTCGAATTTTTTTAAACTGCTTCACGGCTGTAAATCTGGATCTTCGTCATTCGATCATACTGATGTTAAGTTGAAAATTAAACCAAATTCGTCAAAAATAAAACTAGAACCACATAGATGAGGTATATGAGCATCACAACAAAAGATTTTTAAAACCTATTTGTGATTATCAACGTTCTTTTCTGGAATTTGGCGAGTTTGCTAACTGATATAGAGCGATGCTGTCAACGTCTCTCTGAAATTTGGCGAGGGGCTTTTCAAGGACTATACGTACTTGGAGTTGTTCGTTGCTGGGTCTCGGATAAATCATCCTCATGATGCTCACTGGCGTCTTTCGCACAGATTTCAAGTCCAACTCCGTCAGCCCAGTGAGCTGATTGAACACCGTGATCCACGACGTTGACGCCGCCTTGAACACGTTACAGTACACCAAGTGGTATTCCGGATTTATGGCGAACTCCCAGGGATTCGCGTCTGTCGTCATTAGCCCGAGTTCCGCACACCTTTCCCCCAAATGTTGACGTCGATCCTTCAATTCCTTGGGCATGATGTCGAGTGCGAGTCGGTTGAGGTTCGCGTTGGATGTCGAGTTGTCTTCGCTGCTTAGGACCAGTCGCTGTCGGATGGCTTCTATGCTCGCGGACATGTTGGATTCTGGTCCCTCGGCGATCCCCGACGTGGCGTCTATGATCTGGTAATTTTCCGGGAATCTCTGGATGTGCTGCAAGAGGATATATACAGTACAGGTAAGCAGTGATGATGATGTGTGCGTTTTCAGCTTACGGTAATTTCATATTCCTCGTAATGTAAGAGCCAGAAGTCACAGGGTGCGCTTATAATCAATTAACGGAACTCGATTTTCTGCACTGTTTTCATCATAAGATTTATTGCGTTAAAAAAATTAACTGAAATTGGCGGAGAGTGTGTTGGACAGCACTGAAGTGTTGCCAAATGATGGGGCGGTGCGAGTAAAAAAAAATCCTGGGAACTGTTGAAATTACGTTGGATCTATTTCAAAAAGTCTTTAAACTTTTGAACCAACACTTTTATATGTACTGTACCTCGTCAATACAGTACTACAAAACATAATGAAAAAGATAATTTTTGAGGCGCAGTACATTAGCGTATTTCAGACCAGACTTGCTTGAGTTTTGTAAGATATCTGTTTGCAATATGACTCTGCGACACACTCATTTGGCTTTTTGGATGGTCTATTTATCTATTGCCACTTATTAGTGAGAAAAACCATACAAATCATATCAACTAATTTGGGAGGCTTTCGAAGTATTTCTTTGAAAATTTATTGTATCAAAGATTTTTCTGATCATCTTTCTCGAAAACCTTGAAATTTCTGATGGAAAAGAGGTGATTGTAACAAGTTTGTGATGAAAGAGTCTTCTGAGAACTTTTGCAGCTGTTGTATAAAATTTTTGTGCTGAAGCTTGTTCAGTTTGGAAACTTTTATCTTTCAGACATTCAAGCATGAATGCATCTTTTCTTACTAAATTAAGTTACACGGATAAAAAAAAGGTCAGCAAGGTTGATGTTATGCATTAATTCCGATTTTTTTATTTGTCTTGTAATATGTTGAGCATTTTTAATCGGTGACAATTTTCTGAAAATCGCACGCCAATATTAAATTAATCTCGAGGGAAGATTCGCTGTTGAATAGCCGCACTTTTGAAAAATCGTGCTTGCATTGATTGTATGAAGAATTGCTTATTATATCTTATGAAGTTTATTACAAATTTGAATTAACAAATTGATATTTATATCCCCCCCCCTTTTTACACAGCTGTAATCCATCAATAAATTTCTGTAATATGAAACACCTGACTTGCGTGATTCAGAATCCACCATATTTTAAGACGGACACGCAGTAGATATTTTGGTCTAACGGAGGAGAACTTAGTGTGCGAAAGTAAGGCGCACATTTATTGCATTAATTTTTTTCTAATCAGAGAGATTTGACTCCATACCGTATTTCCCTCATTTTTTTCAACTACCAGCCTAATCTCCTCGAATGCTTCCCAAATAAATCACTAGTACATATAAACTTCTGTATCTCGTTCGTTGGACTGAAAAATGGGACGAACGCTTTTCAAAATTGCATATTAAACCTTTTTTCAAAGGGTCATGTCGGTTCTAGAACAATTTTACGTCTCGCCACAACCTGATTTTTCCAGGCCAATTGTTTGGGTAAAATACCGGTTCACCGTTCGCCCAAGTAGATACGGTAATTGAATGTACTATACATGATTCTTACTCAAAAGGGTTATCTCGGTCAAAAGCAATTATGCACTCGGATTTAAAACTGCCATCAAATCGCACTTCGATTTTTTTTTCTCGAGTTTTTGCACATTAAAGTGCGTCCTATATATTCGAGTGAATACGCTCTGATAATGGGAACTCTTCCTTATCCCCCCCCCTCATATTATATGTGGTTCACCAACCTTCGCCTTGAGTACTTCGATAATCGGACCAGTTCTCGGGATCCATTTGCCCTCAATTATTGGCACTTCTGGGCCGGTCTGGCTCGGACCCGAGTTCTTCTCAGTGAAGAGATGCCGGTTCCGGAAGTCCTTGCCCCTCATCATCCCGACTGCGTTCAAAGACGTGGCCGGATCCGGCAACGGCTGTTCGATCCCTATGCTCGTGATGGACACGCCGGAAGTGACGTTCATCGCATTCAGGGAGAGGATGGCGAACAATGTGAGTGTCGCCAGTCCCAATGCGGCCCACGAGGCGTAAAGGGTGGCGCTGCTCCGATAATAAGCCCTGCTGATGGGCCGACCCATCACAGTCGCGTCCGCCAAATTCCGACACGACCGCAACAGCATTCTGCTGGACATTTGCAGCCGCAATCTGTTGGAAGTATGCAATTATAATTATTTTTGTCGAAGGTTCATGAGCGAAATCCATTCACTATGCGGGGATTGAAAATAGTTCCTGCGCGTTATAAATTCAATTCTGTCAGAAAACGGAGCAGTCAGTTCTGATTTCACTCAGATTTCGCGAAACAAAACGAAGATTCCATTGACGAATGTAGATGCAGCTCTGCAACTCTCGGAAGTTTTCTTTTCTTTTAAAATTTCCACAAAGATGACAGTGACACGAAGACCATTATCCAGGCGCATAAATGTCACTTGCTTCAATTTTCAAAATTTATTATAAGAGTACTTATTTCTTTGGCCTCTTTAATTTTTTTTTCTTAAACTTCTGACGTTGGGATGATTTGTAGAAATGTTGTTCCTGCGCGGAAAATGCTTGCCTTCGAAGAAGTACAAATTTTTTGGATAAGGTTGATTCTATATGTGGAATTCAACTTTTGCGGTTACGCTGGCAATATTCAGATGAATTCCGTTAGAATATGGGTGAGTTCATTTCAATTACACGGCTCACAAATTCGATTTCGCTGGAAAAAAAATTTCACAGCTCTGGACGTCGTGATTTTCAGATTGAAATAAGTGGTATTTGGCCTGAACTCGTCGTGATTTTGCGTTTGGCAATTGAATTGATTGCCCGTTTTTATTGCTTTATGGTCTATAGCTATTTTTGAGAGATCGGACCAATTCTGAAATTGTTGTTCTGTCTCATTCCAAAATTGTTCACCCCGGACAATTTGCATGTCAAAGCATTTTTGGGGGTGAAAAAAAATGCGGATTCCGAATTCAGAGCTTTTTTCTGCGAAATTTCTAAGTAGCATGCGAAATACAGTACGCGAGACGAAAATTAATGGACAAAAAGAATTTCATGATTCAGCGGGAATTTTCGCTTTTTTCTACAGTCTATGAAGATTATATTGTCGTTCGATTAGCTTTTAATTTGTTCAATTACTGTTCGTCTAACATCATGGCTATGACAAGCTAGTAATTGAAACTAGAAATGTTTTCGCTTATGCCCTCAGAAAGCTTCAGATACTGAAAATCCCTGCAGATCTCGATTTCCGTGATATCCTGCATTCAAACAAAATTAATTCTGTACCAGTGGAATTTATACAGCTCCCTGAGGTTTTGCTGCTTTAGCAAGAGTCCATCAAAATCCTAAGGATATACAGTTCTGTACTCCGAATGAAGCATTTCAGGCTTTTCGAACGGGGATTTTCCAGGAAGAACAGAAGCTGAAAGGTTTCCGAATCTTTCCGAGGAATTCGTCGCAAAATGCGTTGGAGGGAGTTTTTCTTTCGTTCGATTCCGGTATTTCTATTCGCGTCACCCGGGAATTACGTTTATATGAATTGGAGAATTTTTTTTTCGTCTCAACAAGATGCTCAGTCGGCTTTACGAACAATTGATTGGAAAAGCGCGGGTGATGGATATTGAAAATGATTTGTTCTGGTTTTCCACGTCTCGGTTTGTAAGGATGAGAGAAGATCGACACAATGAAAGAAGGGAAAAGCTCTTGGATTTTCTATAGGCAATTGAAAAGCGTAGGTAGGGATGATCCGTAAAGTTTTGAGGTTCAGACACACGATATTACAGTATTTCCATATTTCCAGATTTTGTTGCGTTTTTTTGGCAGTATATATTTATCCAGCGACCAAATTTTTATTTTCAAAAACTCCTACGTCGTCCGTCTAAAAATGCCATGAACGTGGCTTGATTTCATGAATTGCATTCTCCTCGTGTGTCATTCAAGAGGAAGTGTGGAAATCAATCAAATTTAACCTCTGAAGCGGTAAAGATTTCAATGCTCTGCTGCTCGCGTATTCTTGAGAAAGAACAGTGAAATCCAATCGAGTGTGAACCGACGAAAATCATAAAATTATAGAGGATATTTTTCAAAAAGTCATTTAACCGGACAAATGCAACGTTTACTCTCCCGTGTATCTGTCCCTGATTTCATTTTCCTTGCAGAAAAATTTCTGTCTTTCAGAAGAAAAAAAAAACGAAGAATGTTTGCTTTTCTGCTGCATGAATAGGTATAGAAAAGCGTGAGGATATTTTTTACGTGAAGAGATTTCAAGGCTCGAATCGCATTTCTTGTGCACGAATGATGGAATCAAATCGACTGTCGACTAACAAAAATCAGAACTTTTTCTTTCAAATAAATTGTATGAAATAAAATACCACGTTTAGTGCACATGCCCTCGATTTCATATTTTTTGCAAATCATTCACCGCCTCTCCAGAAGGAAAATTTCATCTTCCCAAAAAGGATTCACGCTTTTCTACAGCATGAAACTGAGCCAGAAAATTGTGGAAATCTTTTTTATTAAATTCGGGAGACTTTTGCTGGTTTAAATGATCACTGAGCAAAACTGAGCGTCATCTGAAGTACTCTACAGTACTTGTAACTCTTGCTTGATTGACAAAATGACAATACACTTCTTATCGTAGTACCATTTCTAACAGAAAAATACATTAGTGCAAAGAAGCAAAACATTTCCTCAAGCACTTCGACACTGAAAACCCTTGCTTCAACTGGAATTAGTGCTGATTTTTCAACCTTTTTTGACACGCAAAAACGTCTTATATATCGTAGCAATGAATAATAACTCTGGTGCTGCAAAAATGCCATAAAATTTAGGAAAGTTTCGTGGAAGAAATTTTGTGATTTATAGAGCTTGAAGGGATGTTTCACGGCGAGCAAAGCATTCTAAAATATTTTATAAATGAATGAACCGAAAGCTTCATTTCCGCTTTTCTATTCATTCTTTCTGTTCATTCAATATTTTAGACTATTTAGAGTCACTCATGTAATTTGGCAACCACAAAAAATAAGTAATTGAAATTTGCAGGGTTCTCTGGGTAATAACGCAAGATGTGAAAGGGACGTCTTTTTTTTAGCATTAGGAAAGTCTTGTATCTACATTATTTATTCTGATCAGTTCCTTTTCAATTCAAGGACCATTCCTCCTATTATTGTCCTATTTTTTTGTGTGTGCCTTTTTTTCCCGTCATTGTCCACGATATGACGAGACCGAGCAAAGACTGCCGCCCCCATTAGAAGCAAACGCGAACTCATTCAAACCATTCGTGACAATCAATCTTCTTCTCGAAAGCGGGGAATAGAAATCCGCAACTTGACGCTGCTTCTTCTGGAGCGACGAACTCCTTTTTTATTCCGCGCGGCGGCGAATCATTTGTTGTCCCGATGACGCCTCGTCGTCATGGTCTGCTGATTTTGATTGGCCTACACTCGATTATCTGTTTGAAATTTTCAGAGTTTATTGCGAAAAAAAAGATTTTCGGAATCTGAGCTGTGGCATCTCTGTATAGTCGCCGCATATGAAGAAGAATAATAAATATCCTCCAGGATTTCCCGCCCGCTTCACGGTGCAACAATACGAAAGCGCGTATCTTTTTTCTTTCTTTTTTTTTATTCAGAGGGCGGTTTTGGTATTTTACAGCCCTTATCTGATGCTGTAAAAATATTTTAAAAAGAGCAGGTTTTACTTGTCAGTTCTTGCCAGGTCAGTTTCTATATTTAGATTTTATAAAAAAAAATTAGTTCGAAAGGACTCCTCGTTTTTTTTTTTTTTTCTGGAGAGATGGAAGACTTTTTAGCTTGTGGGGCATGAAATCAGCAGAGACCTAACGCTGGTAGACTACAAAATGTGGTATTTTTTCTCATTTGAGATGCGAAAAACTTCTAGCAATTAAAATTAAAAGAGGACTACAAGCCAACTGACGACTCAGAGTTATATCCTTCTGCGTTAGGCTCGAGACCTTATAGAAGCGTACCTTTTATATAAGTGCTAAAAGACAGAGATTTCGTATAATGCAGAAAAGCGGGAATCGTTTCTTTTGGGGTATTTTTTTTAGTACGGAGAGAGGGAACATATTTTGCGAAGAACACGAAATCGGTGGTAGATAGACTATACTATTATGATATACTTTTATCATTTTTAGTGGTTAAAAAAAAAGATAACTTTTATTTTCCTGATTTTCGTTGGCCTACACTTCTCGGAACCCACTGTTTGTTTCTCTCAATAATGAGTTATCAGAGCCTGGAACTCTTTTTGCATGAAAAATATATGCGAGTAACATCATGATTTTCTGTTCACTTCAAGTTTCAGAAAACCGTGTATCGTTTCTTTTTAAGGAATTATTTTCTAGAGAGACGGCACCTTTTTTGCAAAGAATATGAAACCAGGGGCAGGTGGACTAAATGTGGCATTTTTCTCAGTCGTTGGCTTTCTGTAACAGTAATTTTTTTTCTGATTTTCCTCTACTTACATTCGACTGGCTTTCATTGGTCACTTTCATGTTGAAGAAAAGCGTGAATCCTTTCTTTAGCGTTTTTTTTCTCTGAAAAGCCAACGACTGAAATCTTATGCAAGGAACATAAGATTTGGGGAAGGTAGGCCATAAACGTGACATTTTCCTTATATAAAATGGCTTTTTTTTGCATTATAGATTTTAATTTCAAGATTTTCGGTCTACGACAGCACAGTCGTGGATTGTTGAGTAATCTTTCGTTTGGATTTCAGTTTTTACTTCCAGAATTAAAAATGTGATCTGTGGCCTTTTTTTTAAGTTTTATGCAGCATGACGAAGATTCTCACGATTCTCAATTCGCCCGTTTCATGGTGTAACAAAAAGCGTGAAGTAATTTTAAATCATACCGTTGGATAATCGCTGGAGAGGCGATTATTTTTAGCCGAAAGCCTGAAATACAATATACTGCAGAGTAAGCGCGATATTTATCATTCGGTGGCTTTTTGAGGAGCATTATTATGGGATTTTTTGGCCCACATTCGATTGTTCCATCATTCGTGTGGATTCGAGTGTTCATCCTCGGAAATACGGAATCCGATCTGTTGGAATCAAACCCACATAAGGAATATCTTCGCGATTTTCTGGTCACTTTACGGTCGAAAGAACCGTGAAGTAATCTTCAATTATCCGACGTAATCATTAGGA